AATTCTCCGATAAGTCAGGGCCATGCCAGCTCCGATCAGCAAGAACCCTGTTATCATGGTTCCGAATAGGTCATCTGATCCAGGTGTGTCTCACCTGGCTGATGGTAAATGAGCTGATTCTGTTGTTTGAGAAGTGAGAGGTCTACAGTTTGATACCCAGGCCAACGTGAGATCAATAAACAGGAAGCAGTTGTGATTGTTTGTTTGTTTGAAGGATTTATTCTGTTTATTTCATTTTTTTTTTTAATATTTTCAGACATTTTTATTTCATTTTCTTTTGGCTGCTCAGGTTTGTGAAGTTAAAGTGTAATCAGCTGAGGCCTTCCCCTCTCATCCAGGTGAACAGGAAGTGAGGCGGCCTGCTGCTGGGCTGCATTCCTTCTCTTTCTTTCACCTGCTGATTATCAGCTGGATCGCACAGGTGAGTCACACCTGCTGGACCTGAGTATCAGCCAGGAAAACAGTTTTATCTCACCTGTGACCTATGAGCCAATCAGACGGCAAATCATCAGACCTGCTCATGACGTGCTGGAGGGGGAAGGAATGACAGGAATGAAGCTTAGAGCAGCCGAAGCCGCCGGACTTCATTCTTCTGCAGGGCGTGAAGTCACCATGATGACAGGAAAGGAAAAGAAAACATGCCATCAGAATGAGAGGAAGCTCCGTGGAAACAGATCAATACATGAGCACTGATCAATACTCCTGATCAGTGCTCCTTGAACCCTTGGAGCTCAGCTCAGCTCTCCTCCCTGAAACTCAGCAGTAAACATCACTGCAGACATATGTTCACCCATGAACTTGTTCACACCTCTGATAAATTTCTTCCTTGTTTCCTTCATATAAAATCAGTAAACAGTTTCCACTGGAATACCGATACTGTATTGATCATGTGTTGCAGTGAGGCAGTTACAGGTGACCTCGGACGCTGTAACGTCTGATGTATATATCAAATCTGATTTATATATCAAAATACATTTATATTAAATAACATGTGCAGTGAAACAGCAGCAGGAAGCTCTGATACACCTGACAGGTGTGTTCACCTGTGCCAGGACGCAGGAATGATCTGACCCTCCAGGGTCTGAGTAAATAACTGAACTGTAGAGCTCTCCGGTACCTGCAGGTGAGACCTGCCACACCGACAGGTGGAGTGGGTGAATGGATGAATCTTAAAAGCATCATAGATTAGATTAAATCGTCTGCAGAAGAAGTACTCGAGTACTGTAATGCAGTCAGAGATGGGTCGAGTATCCAAAAATTGTACTCAAGTAAGAGTAGCATTACTTTAAAATATTATTACTCAAGTAAAAGTGAAAAGTAGTCTTCAAAAAAGTTACTCAAGTAAGAGTAAAAAAGTATTTGGTGAAAAGACTACTCAAACAAAAATAAATAAATATACAAACTGAGATTTTTTACAACTCCTTTTTTGCGTTTACGTGTGGGCGAGGACTACAGAGTTCGTCAAGCAACGTCAAAGGTATGTGCCTTTTTTCACATCACGCTGTCCGCCACATTATTGTTTACATGAGATGAATTGCAGAATGGCAGACAGACAAAATACTGTTACTATTAATCTGACTATCTTCAGTTTTTACACGCTTACATATACACACGCAGTTACTGTCCCTCCATTTAGAAAGGCAGAGGTGTCACGGTGTCATTATTTTACGTGTAGTTGTTTTTTTCCTGTGTAATAATATTCAACATTGCTATCAATACATTTTTCAAAAAAATGCCTCTCTGTGCAAAATGGGTTTAAAAACATAAACAACTGTGGGATACTGTTAGTTCGTGATTTGAACCGGGGGACAAATGGCTGGATCAGCCTGATATTATTTGTATCCCACTGTAACTTTACTGTATAAAGAGCTAACAAAATGTCAGGAGTAGTTAGTCATTATGAGAAGTGTTTGTGAACTAAAAATCAAGAATGTGGGATACTGTTTGTCCGTGATTTGAACAGCCCAGCGCATGCTCCCGACGAAGGGAAGACCAATTCTGCAGGGGAGACCTACCTTGGTACTTGTGCAGGTGAAACCAAAGGGAAGATATGCTTCACAATATTTTCTAGTCTTTCGCTTAGAATGAAGTTGGTTTGGAAACATATTCAGCTATACTTCATCTCCTGCTTTGCGTTTGAGCGGGCGCCCCATGCTAGCAGTGTCCAAGCTGTTTTTTGGGGTTTTTTTCCCCCTTTTCATACTGCCCCCCCCCCAGGGGGCAGGCCCCACACTTTGGGAAGCTCTGATCTAACAGGACCTTACACGCATATCCAGGCTCATTCACACCTGAGTTCCACTGAACCTGGATTAAATGTGTGTCGAGATGTTACTACTCCCTCTTGTGCTGACAAGTTAAAATAGCACCAAAAAGTCTAAAATTGCTCTAACAGTGTTTTCAGTGGAGAAGGAAGCACTGATCTCTGAAACAGGAAACATCTTTATGATTCTTGTTGTTTTAAATATCAGCCACAAAGTGCTGCACTGGAGCATCATGATGCAGGCTCAGTCAACAGGGTAAGGAGATCCAGACAGCTGAGAGGAAGTTACCTGGATGAGGATTTCTCCCACCGACAACGTCCAGATGAACACTGGAGCTTTTTATACGCATCCTACAGGCCAACGTAGCAGGCAAGATTAAAAAAGGCACTTTTATTCAAGTACGATCAACACATCTCAAAATCCTTTCTAATAATATAACAATTCGCTTTTAAAAATCTCTCTTGGTGCTTGGATCCGATTGCTGATTTGCATTTGCTCCATCTTGTTGACGTGGTGGAGTCGTCGCTGCCTTACCTGAGGTGGTCTTGTGATGTGCACGCCTATTTCTGTTGTTCAAAAGCCATTTGTTGTTGAAAAGGCATTCAAAGACAAACTGTCAAAGTGGCCTAAAATCCACTCAAAAGATGCAGAAAGTCTACGGGCCTTTTCTGATTTTCTCACAACGTGTCTCCAAGCAACACCACATGTAAAGTGACTGTGAGGAAAACCAAAAATGATTGCAAAAGGTTTCAGGTTGGCTCGCAACGCGTTGAAATCGTGAAGTCACAGTTGCTCTCATGAAAAGCGAAGATTTTCCCTCTTTCAAGGATTTTGCAGACTTTGTAGCACTTGAGGCAGAAATTGCATGTAATCCTGTGACTTCTTTATATGCACTCCATTCATGCAGCTCATGCTTGGAGAAAAGACACACAAGGGAGACCAAACCAAACAGATCTGTGACTCAAGTCTTTACCACACAAGCCACAGTACAAGGAGAAAAAAGTGAAATGACACAAGGTTAAAGGTGGCCTGCATGTTCTGCAAAGATGAAAGTCATCAGTTGTCAAAGTGCCCAAGCTTCTCAGAAAAGTCACTAGACCACAAATGGACATTTGTGAAGGACAATAAACTGTGCTACGGGTACTTAAAGGTGGTCCACAATGCCAGAGACTGTCGTCATCGCCACACTCATCCTGTTTGCACAATGAGAGTCACATGGCAAATGAAAGGCCTACAAACGTCGCTTCAACCACAGAAAATGACACCATGGCAGCCACAGCTCTGAATGTTACCAAGGTGGGTCAATCAGGTAGTACCTCCATGATCTTTTCCAAGATGGCGCTGAGTATGGCAGCCTCGCCGTGAGCTCCCCCAAGCAACAGCTGGTTTTTGTGTTTAATTTGACTTTTAGCACATGTCTCCTTGTGTACGACCGACAAACCTTACTGGACATAAGAGATGGACTTTCTCATCACTTCCCGGAGTTCAAGTTTTGCAACACGGACCCTCCGTTTGCAGACCCCCCATTCATCTCACCTGAGACACCTTTGTTC